TCTCCGTCCATCCCCTCCCTAAAAAAAAAATCAATGGAAAAATATCCTTGGGTGAGGATTTTAAAACATAATTTAAAAAAAAGAATAAAAATGAAGGGGCTAGGGAGAAACCGAAGATGGCGGCGTAGGTAAACACCGGAGACCGCTGCCGCATACAACCATTTCAAAAATACAACTAAAAGACGGAACGGACATCACCCAGAACCACAGGAAAGCTGGCTGAAGAGAGACTCTACAACTAGAAGGAAAGAGAACAGCAAACTGAGGCTCAGAGGCGGCGCAGTGTGGAAAATACAAAGGTACCGAGGTGCGCGTGAAAGCGGGCTGGTGGCTGAGGGCGCGGTTGTCGTTTTCGGTCGGGAGTGAGTCTCAGACTCTGGGCTCCAGATCCGGGCGAGTCTCTAGGGATTCAGACTCAGACGGGAGAAGCGGGATTATCCGGCATCAATTGGAACCTGAGGGCAGCTTTCTCTCCGAGGTTTGCAGTGGCTGCCGGGGTTCTGAGAAGCAGAGCCTCTGGGAACGGGACTGAGAGCGGCCATAACTGCTCCCTCCGCCCGCCCTGTTGAGCCCGCCCCGCCCAAGCCCTGCGCACAGCCATTTGCCGATCGCCTCAGGCAAAGGCTGGATTCGCACCTTCCCAGAAGACAGACGTTTTCCACACAGCTAATTCCTACAGCCAGTCGGCCTGGTGGTCAAATCCCTCTAGTGTTAACTACAACAATTAAGGCTTGGCTAGAACAAGACTGCGCACAAAGACCACAAGGGGGTGCACCAAGAAAGCATAAAAGATGCGGAGACAAAAAAACATGACAGAAATGGAGGATATGGAGCTAAGAATCGCAATTTTGAGGGCTTGCTATAAACTTGAGCAGAGCCTCACGAAAACTAATGAGACCCTCGATGCTACGATAAAGAAATTAGAAAGTAAGCATACACGGACTGAAATAAAGAATATTATACCCAATAGCAGACCAGAGGAGCACAAGAATCAAACCAAAGATTCGACAAAAAACACCCAACTGGAAAAGCAAAATGAAAAAAGAATACGAAAGTGTGAAGATAGTGTAAGGAGCCTCTGGGACAGCTTTAAGCGCACTAATATCAGAATAATAGGGGTGCCAGAAGATGAGAGACAGCAAGATATTGAAAACCTATTTGAAGAAATAATGGCAGAAAACTTCCCCCACCTGGTGAAAGAAATGGACTTACAGGTCCAAGAAGCGCAGAGAACCCCAAACAAAAGGAATCCAAAGAGGACCACACCAAGACACATTACCATTAAAATGCCAAGAGCAAAAGACAAAGAGAGAATCTTAAAAGCAGCAAGAGAAAGAGACTCAATTACCTACAAGGGAATACCCATACGACTGTCAGCTGATTTCTCAACAGAAACTTTGCAGGCCAGAAGGGAATGGCAAGAAATATTCAAAGTACTGAATACCAAGAACCTACAACCAAGATTACTTTATCCAGCAAAGCTATCATTCAGAATTGAAGGTCAGATAAAGAGCTTCACAGATAAGGAAAAGCTAAAGGACTTCATCACCACTAAACCAGTATTATACGAAATGCTGAAAGGTTTCCTTTAAGAAGAGGAAGAAGAAAAAGGTAAAGATACAAATTGTGAACAACAAACATGCATCTATCAACAAGTGAATCTAAGAATCAAGTGAATAAATAATCTGATGTACGGAATGAACTGGTGATTACAATGAATCAGGGACATAGAAGGGGAATGGACTGACTATTCTTGGGGGGGGGGGGGAAGGGGAATGGGAGATGCGGGAAGAGAATGGACAAAAATCATGCACCTATGGATGAGGACAGTGGGTGGGGAGTGACGGCGGAGGGTGGGGCGGGAACTGGGAGAAGGGGAGTTATGGGAAAAAAAGAGGAACAAATGTAATCAGAACAATAAAGATTTAATTTTAAAAAAATAAAAAAAAATAAAAAAAAGGACAAAAAAAAATGAAGGGGCTATATTCTAGAATTGCTTCTGGAAACACCTGCTGACAAGAATGTTCTTTTTTCTTTATTTTAGCTTATGAGGTCAACATAGGCAGGGCATCCTTAAAATATCAAGCTAGGTCATAATGGACAGAGCATATTTTCTTCACAAAAGAATGCCAAAGGTACAAGAGCAGCTCTATTCCCTTAACAGTGGTTCTCAACCTTCTGGCCCTTTAAATACAGTTCCTCATGTTGTGACCCAACCATAAAATTATTTTCATTGCTACTTCATAACTGTAATGTTGCTACTGTTATGAATCGTAAGGTAAACATTTGATATGCAGGATGGTCTTAGGCAAACCCTGTGAAAGGGTCGTTCAACCGCCAAAGGGATCGCAACCCACAGGTTGAGAACCACTGCCTTAGAACATTCTCCTTCTTTCAAGTGGAATTTATACTTGGCAACACTCAGCCATTAGCTCTCACTACTATGTGAAGTTTGAAATGCACTCAACTGCTATCTTTCCAGAAATCTTTTATAATTATACTCAACTCCACTACTATAGACTCATTGCTCTAAAGATTGTATAAGCTCTTGGCTCCACTTCCTTCTACCCAATGATCTTGGAGACGTATAGAGCTGCCACCCTCTTTCTGTTCTTACTAGAGACTTTAATAAAGAATACCATAGCTGAAATTCAGTCAGTATTACATTTTCTTCACATAAAAGGTGCGTGTAGACTTCAAGCCAAAAAGCTTCATGGTAGTGCAACAATACTGCTTTCTAATTTTCTAAAAAATGCACATTATAAAAAGTCCAACCACCTTTTAAGTGAAAAGTCACAATTATATACAGGAATAAGAATTCAGTGATAAATTTTACCTAGAATGACAGCAATGAGAGTGGTGCAGAAATAATATGCAACAGCACGCAGCCCAATTTTTCCAGATACGTTGGAATCCAATGCAGCGACACCTGAAAGGGGGAAGAAGTCAAATTACATTACTTTTAGAAAGACTGATTTACAGGACTAGTGATGACTCAATCCTTAAGGTGTGAAAGAAAGAGCTGAGAGCTGTCGCTGGATCTCTTGGGCATATCGCACATTTGGACAATATGTGAAGGGTGAAAAAAGCAAACTTCCAAACACAGAATTAAGAGATGGGAGCCTACTGTGAGCTAAGTTCCCCTTCTTGGCAAGCCCTCACTGCCGCTGCCCATTGTGAGCGTCCTGCCTTGGGCTCCTCTTGCGGGGTAGTCATGAGACACAGTCAGAAGGAGTCCTCCTTCTGCATTTGCTTGCCGTGTGGGTGGGGGAAAGATGGGAGAGGACATAAAGGGGATACATGATGATGGAAAAAATAAAAAATTTTAAATATATGAAAAAGAAGAACGTTATCAAGATTTGTGTACTATGTCACTCAACATCCTTTTGGAATTCAGTATCAAGGAAGAGTTTATTTTAAAGAACTGAGATAATTCTTTCCTCATGTGATGAAAATCAAATAACCCCTTCGTCCTTTTGTTAGGAAGCTCAGAGTCAACTAAAAGATAACTTTTACATATGTATTCATGATAATTATCTGATTAAAAAGAGAAAAATATAAAGAAAAAAAAATTACTTCAGCTCATCAGCCATAGTCAAAATTCTGGTGATTTATCTTCCAATATGTTTTCCTCAATTTTTTGTAAACATAGCTGAGATAATTTTATAGTTTTTAATCCTCTCTCTTCCTAATACTGTATTATAAACATTTTTCCTTATTATTATAAATTCACCCTGAGGAAGGCTACATAATTTGTCATGGGGCTGTACCATAAGGTATTTAATCATCTACTCACTGCTAGATCTTTAAGTAGTCTCAGGGCCAAAGTCAGTAATAAATCACAGTAATTTCACTAACCATTCTGGCTAGCATATTTTTTCTTCTTTTATTGATTTTCAAATTGCTTCTATGTTAATTTTATTGTGTGTGCCTTTGATTGTGACACACCTAAAAATTCCCATTTTATTTTATTTTTAAATTGTTTTTATTGATTTTCAGAGAGAGATGAAGGGAGAGGGAGAGAGAGAAACATCGATGAGAGAAACATGGATGGGCTGCCTCTTGCATACCCCCTACTAGGGATCGAGCCCACAACCTGGGCATGTGCCCTGACCAGGAATCAAATTGGCAACCTCTCTCTGCAGGGGTCAATGTTCAACCAACTGAGCCATATTTGCCAGGGCTAACAAAGATTCCATTTTTATAGAGGCAGGATATAAATAAAAATTTCTGAAAGCATAGGAAGATATATGGCCTCGTTGTTAGATGCAGTTTCAAATGAACTTTGACTGCCAATAAAACTCTTGAATGTCGCCTGGATTTGCACGGGTTGTCTAGAGTGCCAAGGATGGCTGCAGAGGTGGAAGGCATACACCTTTCCTCGCCAGAAGGCCTTGCCCTCCATCAAGGACGCTCATATAAATGGAGTCAATGACGCAGCTCTCTAACCAGACCTCTCCCATGTGGGACACATGAGAAACAACCAAACCATCTTTCAGCAAGTTGTCATTTGGAGGTTTCAGACTACCCCGCCTGATTTCCAAAAAGAGAATCACATTTTGATCACCAAGAAAATGATGGCTTGAGCTTGCAACATGCGTGAGTTGTGTCATACTGTTTGCAAAACCTGAAGTACAGGGCAGCAGGAAAATGAAGAGGTTGTCATGAGGCAACCCCAGAGAAAAGGTAGTAAACATGTAGGCTATCAGTACACACAGGCAGCTTTTATATTCACTCCTCACACTATAAAAGGCCTGTCTATTTTTTTATGTGACTGGAGGATTATGCTCCTCAAATATAATTGAACATATTTGATATAGGAAAAATCTCTAAGGAAGCTATCACCTCTCACTCCTAACACATCATTCCTCTGACTGTTGATTGCTCCTTTGGAAGTTAACATTTTGGGGGAAGGGGCCTTGACTTCTTTAACAGCCACCCCAGAATGTTGTTAAGGGCCCATTCTCCAACATCTAGGACAAGGTTGTGCAATTACTATACATATACATATGGTGGAATACTGCAACCGTCACATCCTGGAATAACCATGATCATCTTTTTCTCTTTCTTTGGGAAAAATGCAGTTTGTTGTGCTCAGAAGACTTTCTTTTCCTAATGGCAAGACAATGAAAAATAACAATTCTGCAAGAAACAACAACAAAATTAAGAGACTTAAGGCCACAATTTAGAAAAAAGTGGACTATTTCATATTTAGTTTTGGTCTCCTAAAAAGAGAGGAAACAATAATGCAAACATATATGTTTGTTAAGTATATTGTATAACTACAAAATGCGCCTATCCCATTTTAGAGCTCTGCATATTATTCTGATAAACAATTAAAACAATTAAGTATAACAATAAGCTAGGTTAAAAAGACAAACAAGAAAATCTTCAAATTAACAGAACTGAGTCACCTGTATAAGCGCCTGTAGCCCTGACCTAAGAGAAGATCTATTTTCAGATATATTGGCCCTTGATTGATTTCCAATTTAAGCAGCTCCCAGCCCACAAGGTGCTGATAAGTGATAGGCTCACGGGGTGGTTGCAGAACTGTTCTTGGGTATGTGTTTCATGTCTCCTCAGGATTTCCTTCTAGCGGTGAAACAAATTAAATCTATGTGGGTAACTGTTCCCAGCATATGTTAATACTTCTGTCTTCATTTGTCTTAATGATGAGGCCGAGGGCTGGTGCCTCTGCTGCTATTCTAGGACCCAGCCGCCAATAAAAGGCTTCATACTAATGAGATTCTCAGTGGAAATATCTTAAACAAATACATGCCCAAAGCAGGCAGCCAGCTTCTTCCTGCTGGAGTACAGCAACTATCTTGTAGTTATTTGCAGGAAGAGCTTTGTTTTCCATTCCTCACATTTACCCTAGTCCTATAATTCTTCTAGACATATCAGAAATGTATTAAAATCAACAACCGTACTTCTCTGCCTCTCTCTGGAGTTGCCCTCTACCTCCCAGTCATCACTGACTGAGGGCAGAGCTGCCCCCAAATCCAGGCTTTTGGACAATTTATAATGTGATGTTGAGAATAGGGGCAGTGACCACTGGAGAGGGAAGGAACATAGGTAGGGAAACAGCCTAATCTTTGAAAACCTCTATAATGGGAACATGACTAAAGTTAACTTGAATATAAAATGCCTGTCTGCATGGTCTAAACACCCCACCTGCCAAAAACAACAATGATGATGATAATTATACACAATGACGACGATAAGGATGACAACAGACACTGTGTACTGAGCAATGACTTAATGTTGAGTGCATCACCTTTAATTCTCACTATAACCCTATGAGATTAGGCATCATTCCCCCCATTTTATAGATGAGAAAGCTGTGGTTCAGAAAGGCTAAGTAACATGCCATGGTCCTATGGCTGCTGAATGATGAAGCCAGGAGCCCAAACCCAAGTTTGACCCCAAAGGCCATATTCTTAATCACTATGTCATACTGGCTCTACCAACATGCTACAAAGTTCTAGACCAGGGCTGCCCAATAGAATTTCCTGCGATGATGGAAATGTTCTCTGTTTGTGCTGTCTACTGCAGTAGTCACAAGCCACATGTGGCTAGTAAGCACCTGAAATGTGGCTAGTGTGAGTGAGGAACTGAATTTTTATTTTAATTAACCTCAATTTAAACAGCCATATGTGGGTAATGACTACCATCCTGGACAGCATAATCTCTAGACCTTCCCAGAGTGTCCAACATTTAGTGGATGCTCAACAATGTTGAATGAACAAACTCAAGCTTGACTCCATTACAAGGACACCCTCTCCACCTTGCCAGCACAGGGGCAGGGGAGAGGATGAAGGGAAACCATCATCCCCAGGTATGCATTTCCTTCACCACACTGGCCACATTGCTCCAAGGCCTGAGGCTTCTTCTTCACCGGTCCCCAGTGCAATAAATAAATAAGTTGCTCTGTGGACGTTGTGTTCGATGCCTTCCACGTGAAGAACAGAGCTGCACTTTTTATGGGCGGTGTTCTTACAAAGTGAGCTCAGTTCAAAGATCCACATGTGTCAGAGATTGGGAACTCGGCAGGTAGTCTCCTTAGAAACCATGTGCACAGGGCAGTTTGGCTCGGTTTCCAGGGCGACCATCCATGATAGACCTCCATTGGAGAACACATTTAGCATCTTAGTGCCTCTCTCCCATTTTTTTCATTATTGTGTACTCTACCCCACACCCCACTCACCTCCAGCCTTTTAGACAATTTTTTCCTTACGGAAACCCCATGAAATTTTAATACCATAGACCAGTGATGGCGAACCTATGACACGCGTGTCAGAGGTGACACGTGAACTCATTTCTTTTTGTTGACTTTTCTTTGTTAAATGGCACTTAAATATATAAAATAAATATTAAAAATATAAGTCTTTGTTTTACTATGGTTGCAAATATCAAAAAATTTCTATATGTGACACGGCACCAGAGCTAAGTTAGGGTTTTTCAAAGTGCTGACATGCCGAGCTCAAAAGGTTCGCCATCACTGCCATAGACAAACTTTACATTTGTTTATGTACTAAATAAATACATGTATTTTTTTTTTACATAAAAAGTGTAAGTTTCTATCCCTTAACTCCTACCCCAAACCAGCTTTTGTTGCCTTGGGGGCGATATTGCTCCTGTAGAGAACATGGGGTCTAGCTTGAGGGATACCGTTGTGTGAATGGCACCTTAATCCAGAAGGCAGTGCCTCTTCATCAGTTCCTCTGTCACACTAGTTACCTTCCAAGTGTTCACTAGCTACAAGTAGCTTGTGTCTACTGCAGTGGACAGCACAAGCAGAGATCATGTTGGGAAGTGCTGGTCTAGAATTTGTAGCAGATGGACAGAGCCAGTAGGACACAATGGTTAAGAATATGGCCCCCACCACTTACTGGGGAAGGTCAGTTCCAAACAAGTGAAACATCACCA